TTGAAGCAGAAGTCCATCAAAATTTATTTGCTGTGTGCTTCTGTTTACTTTCCATATTTTTTCGTGTTTTCTCAATTAAAGTGCCTGCTAGGATATTTAAGTACAGGGTACACCATATATAATACTGTTCTGGTACAGTCTGATCCTTTTTCTGTGGACTAAAATAAAACATCTTCAGATCAAGCAGAAATTATACTCGTAGCATTTCTAGATATTTAATAGCAAAATTAACAAGCGTGAAGTACTGTGACAAGCGGCAAGTTTGTCATAAACCTTAGACCACATGTGTTACCTCAGACTGGTAATTTTGCGTAGTCAAATGGTAAGGACCGAAATTGTATTTGTATGTAAGTAAGGATGTGGGGGGAGGGCAAGGTTTTGTGTTCATGATATAATGCATGAGTATTTGATAATACACTTTACAGTTAAAGGTTTGTGTAATTCAGACACCTGCTGGCTTATATTTTAATGCGCGTGTGTGTGAATTTCTGCTGTACATGTATGAACGAAGTTTAGAAACTGAAACTTCCGCTAATTCCATTGAAGGTTAAATATGCTACGTCTAGGAAACAAAAATGTGACATGGTTTTTCTTCCAGGAATGAAAACATTAACTATGACATTAAAGAGGAGGGATTCTTGTGCATTTAATTCAATAACTGCAAAATGAAAGCCTATTTTACCAGAATTGCCTGGAGAATAGCTTCTCATCAAGGTCTTTTTTTCATTATCAATTAAATTTTTAAGCTCCTGTTTTAGCTTTGCAGCTCTCAAAAAAGCTATCAGTTTTTATTATTAAATATTCATTTTTATTTTTATTTAACAAGCCTGGTTAAATTAGATGATTTAGAGGGGAAAAATGCTCGGAGGCAAGCTCCAGGGCATTTTAGATCATTAGTTATCTGAAGTCTATAAGCAGCTGATGACAGAGGCAAAATGTGTCAGTTTGGCTTGCACAAAGCGGTTACTCGATTAGAGCTGTGCATGTCGCTGTAAGGTCTCAGCTGTATATAAAGGGCATTTCTGTCTCTGGTTGTTGATTTGGCATAGTATCTTTCCAGTTGATACTGGATGTGAAATGAGCATCTTAGCTATATTTAGAAATATTTCCCATTTTAATTGGTGGTTGTGGCTAAAAATAATGGTAAGATTGTTTACTGTGATTACATGACTTAATATTTTGGAAAATGTTGCAATAATGAAAGCTCATGCCTTTTAATCAGTAATACAAGTAATCAAAGGCTTGGTAATATATACTGCTTTTATATTTCCTATTTTCTTCTGTTTAGGTAAAGAACTTCGCTGTTATTTATCTTGTGGATATCACTGAAGTACCAGACTTCAACAAGATGTACGAGTTGTATGATCCCTGTACCGTCATGTTTTTTTTCAGGTACGTGATGGTTCTAGCATGTAACTCATTTACATTTTTTGTATGTGTCAAATGCAGGGTCTCAGTAGATCATTTCTAAATGTATATCAGCATACTGATGCTTATATTTTCATTGCTCTACAAAATAGTAAATTGATTAAATAAGAACATGGTTTGTTTTCCAGTTAGCCTAGTAACAGTGTTTTGATAATAGAGTACAAATTAGTGATAGTGAAAACTGTTTTTATTATGCATTGTTTTTAGTTCTAAATCTGAAACTCCTTGTACAGAATACTGCAGTAACACAGCAGTCAAGCTTGTCAAATGTGCTTTAAAGATACACCCAAAGCATTAAGGTTTTTTGGAGCTAAGGCATCTACGTTGATGAGATAAAATGTGCTACTGACAAGCGTGGAACTCTCTCTGGTCCTAGACAGTAGGGGGAAAGAAGTATAAACCATGAGGAATAGGCTGAAGGATAATTGCACTGAGTAGCAATCTTTGGGGCACGTTTGCAGTCTTTGTTCTAGCTTTAGAAATAGGCAGTAAAATGTTAACTATAGAGAGAAGGGGATACTCTGAGGCTTGTTTTGCAAGCCTGTTTATGTTGGAAGGGCTTCTTTTGAATCCTACAAAGCATTCTTGGGAGGGGCAGAAAGTTTCTTTCTGAATTATAATACCATATTAACTTGTCTGTGTTTTTCCCCTCTCCCATTAAAGGAACAAACACATCATGATTGATCTAGGTACAGGTAATAACAACAAGATCAACTGGGCAATGGAAGACAAGCAAGAAATGATTGACATTATAGAAACTGTTTATAGAGGAGCCCGAAAAGGTCGGGGTTTGGTGGTATCGCCAAAAGATTATTCCACTAAATACAGATACTGACATTTCTTTGGAGCTGCCTTTTTTTTAACCCTACATCCACTTAAATTTATTCTTGTGTATGTGTGTACATATATATCTATTAAATGAAAAAACCTACAAATCCTTCAACGTGGAGCATATTTTGAATTATTTAAAAGGTTTCAATTCTGTTTGGAAAAGTAAGGCATGAAGCCTGGAACTGTCTCACTGCAGTAATACTATAGATGAATTTTAGATTTTTTTTTTTTCAATTCTTATTTTTTAAAGACTTTACTCTGTGTTTGTCCTTTGGATATGATGTATTTTTATACACAAAAAGCCTATTTACAGGAAAACATTTTGACTGGTTTTGTTTGCTTTTGTTACACAAATATGTGGAAAAACTATACTGCAGCTTTTTTGAAAGAATAAAATGAGTTTTGCTTGTTTACCATAATTTTCTTTAGCTAACTAAATTTGAGAAAGAAAACAAATGTAATTGGATGCAAAGTCACGTTGAATATGAAGGGATATCACTTCTGTCAGGATTTCCTTGCGTAGTATTTAGTTCTTCTGTATCCACTAAAAATAGGAAGAAAACACTAAGGTGCATTTATTGATATTTAGCAGAACTCGGAGGAAATATCTTCCGTGACTGTCCCCACCCCTTAATTGACTTGTGGTGATGGTCGTCTTTTTCATGGTGATTATGTGCATACAGTAGTCAGTTTTAAGTACTTAGTAGATTTTGCAGTGCCAAAGGGTAATTGCAGTTCTGGAGCTGGCTGCATAGTCAACAGTTGAAGACAGGATGAGCGGTGCTTTCTCTCATTTGACCTCAAATTTGTCTAATGGTATATTAAAATGCATATATACTTACGAGATGTGGATTGGATTCCACTGTGGCGTGGCTTTGGAAGTTTCCATTTGCATTTCTGACTTTTGTTCTGCAGTAATTGGAGCCATTGTTGTGTCGGTGTTTTGGTTTTGTTCTTTAAACTGATAGATCCATATGTACAGGATTAAGAAAAAACAAACCAGACTATGCAGAAAGGAGATGCCTGTACTTTTGGTCCAGTTTGTCATAAGACAAAGTGGAATGTGCTTTTTTTACCATCTGTGCACTTTAGAGAATTTAGAATGCATCAAGAAAGTAACATGAAATTAATCTGGTTTAGAGTGGTGTATTGGGTTTGTGTGGCAAGCTTTTGGTAGCGGGGGGGGGCAGGGGTTACAGGGGTGGCTTCTGTGAGAAGCTGCCAGAAGCTTCCCCCATGTCTGACAAGAGCCAGTGCCAGGGGGGGGAACTGCAGCAGGAGAGAGGAGTGAGAAGGTGTCTGCAGGGTTGTTCCTCTCATGTAAGTGCAGAAGGAGGGGGAGGAGGTGCTCCAGGTGCCAGAGCAGAGAGTCCCCTGCAGCCCGTGGTGCAGACCATGGTGAGGCAGGTTGTCCCTTTGCAGCCCATGGAGGTCCACAGTGGAGCAGATATCCACGTGCAGCCCATGGAGAGAGGACCCCACGCCGGAGCAGGCGGATGCCTGAGGAAGCTGTGACCCCGTGGGGAGTCCCACACTGGAGCAGGCTCCTGCCAGGATCTGCGGACCCCTGGAGAGAGGAGCCCACGCTGGAGCAGGTTTGCTGGCAGGGCTTGTGACCCCATGGGGCACCCACGCTGGAGCAGTTTGTGAAGAACTACAGCCCGTGGGAAGGACCCACATTGTAGAAGTTCACGGACAACTGTCTCCCATGGGTGAAACCCCACACTGGAGCAGTGGAAAAGCACAAGGAGGAAGGAGTGTCAGAGAGAATGTGTAATGAACTGTCCGCAGCCCCCATTCCCCACCCTCCTGCACCACATGGAGGGAGGAGGTAGAGAAACAGGAGTGAAGTTGAGGCTGGGAAGGAGGCAGGGGTGGGGGGAAGGTGCTTTTAAGATTTGGTTTTAGTTGTTGTTATCCTACACCAATTTGAGTAGTGATAAATTAAACTAATTTCCCCAAGTTGAGTATGTTTTGCCCGTGACCCCTGTCTTTATCTCCACCCATGAGCCTTTCGTCGTATTTTTTCACTGTCCAGCTGAGGAGGGGGAGTGACAGTGGCTTTGATGGGCACCTGGCATCCAGCCAGGGGCAAGCCACAACAAGCGGTTATTAACGATGGAATCATTTATGTTGGGACTACTGGAGGTCTAATCCAACCTCCCAAAGTAGGTCTTACTTGATCAGATTGCCCAGGACTGTCCAGTGTTGAGTATTTTGAGGATGGAGGTTCCTCAGCCTTTCTGGAAAGCCTGTTCTGCTGCCTGAGCACCCTCAGAGTTGAAAAAAGTGTTCCTTGCATATTGCTGGAATTTACTGTGTTCCAGCTTATGTCTAGAACTCTGGTGTAAAACACCTCCAGCAAGAGTCTGACTATTCCCCATGCTCAGCCATTGGGTAGCTGTAGCCAGAAAGCAAGCCGTCGTCTTTTCTTGAGGCTGAACTAACAGGATTCTCTCAAACCCTCATTTAGTCTCCACTGTTTCCTGGTGGCTCTCTGTTCAACTGCCTCATAACCATGTATTTCTTGAACTGGGGAGCCCCCAAACTGACGTGATTCTGGGTGTGGTCTCTCAGGAGTTGAATAGAGGGGAATGACCTGCTGGCTCCACTTGTGCTAATGGTGGCCAGCGTGTGTGCTGCCTCGCCTCCCCCTTGCCCAGCAGACCCCGCTCTGTCCCTGCAAGGCCCTGTGCCAGCCAGCGCTGCAGCAGAGGCTTGCTCTGTCCCAGAAGGGAGGCTCAGCACTCGCCTTTGACCTTCATGAGGTTCCTGTGGGCCTGCTGCTCCAGCCTGTCCTCTAGCATAGCAACCTCTCCCCCCAGCTCGACATTTCTCACAAACCTACACTGATTAAAGCAGCGATTAGAATGATTTCTTGATGTTAATGATGAATCTATAAGACATTACAAATGTTAACACCTACCAAAGTTAAAAGCATATTTATCCTTCATTAGCTGAGGTAGTCTGTCTACCTGGTGATGCTTCAATTTCGGCATTTGCTGCAAGGGGCTCCTGTTAAGTTTCAAACAAAATCTTGCCTGCCAAAAGTGCCAGTGTTTTGGTGTAGGAGAACCTCAACGTTAGTGCAGAAGTCCTGTTTTCTTTGGCTCTGCCATGTCTTGTTCAGGATGTTTGATAACCAGAATTCCGATCTGTCTCAAACTCTTCAGGCTCTCCCATCGAAATGGCTGATGTTCAAGAACTGACACTGGCACAGTGTGCATACCTGGGTGATGTTATCTGTGTAGGTGGGCACAGCTTTGGGTGGGCTCGTAGAAGAGTAGCAACTGAATGTAGCCTCTGCAAATACTGCCATTTCTCTGGGTGCAGAACAGTTTATTCATTGCACCTATGAAGTTTTGCAAAGGTACCTTTGTAATAAAATCAAATAAGGTGCAGTTTGTAATGCAAAACATTTAAAGGAGCATCAAAATGGCACACGCAAATGGAAGAGTTTTGTCATAGAAGGATCTTGTGATTCTGAGGACATTTAAGTTAAAAACGCAAAAATAACATGAGGAAAACTTTAATATTATTGAAATAAATAAAATACATCTTCATACATGGGAAATGTTTGTGACTGTGTAAGTTTACTATATAGGATACAGTTTTCTACCAAAATAGTGGTTTTGCCTCTCCTGAAACTAATAGTTCTTTCACAGTTACAGGAAATAGTGTCCCATTTAGATGAATAAACGCTGCTTGCTTTTTCCTGGGGCAATAGTTTAAAAAAAAACACCCATGCTGAGATTCTGTTGTGACATGATGCACGCATGTTTGCATTCACGGATGTTTTCTGTGACCAGTGACACTGACTGTCAGCTCCCAGATGGACTGCGGTGCTGCTCTCCTATTCGATCACATCCTCGTTTCAGTGCTGCAGAAAAACAGCGAACAAGTAGGTTAGTGGTTTAATTATTCATGAATGTGATTCGGCATAAAAACAGAAGATCTCTGTACCGTTAAATACATCTTCACGAATTGTCTTTTTATATTTCTGAAAATGATGGTGTGGCTTATCACAAAAAGGCATCAGAATGAATAGATGCCTAAATTACTTCAGTATATTTACAGACATTCCTGTCTTTCACTGGGTAAGTGGTCTCTAAATGACAAAAATAATGGATGTTTCTCAGTCTGAATCAGGAAGGCAGGTAACAACAGGAAGATGACACCACCTGCACCCATGGAAGGCAGAAGCACTGCTGTCTGGTAAACAGTGAGAACACTGACTAAGGCAGCATCGGGGTGGGGAGTGTGGCATTTGCAACAGGCAGCCATACAAAAATCTCTCACACAATCTTGAACTGCAGCATGATTTTCTATTACAGAGCATTTGTCAATAATGCTAAAGTTATCCTTGCTCTTTCCATCCCCTGTCCTACTGCTGAAAGACCAAACTGCTGCTGCATTCGGGGTGAATGTATGGAGGAGGTGCGCTCCGAGCCAGGCTGGGGAGCTGAAGCAGGTTTAAAAGCAGATGTACACAAATTCATACCGGCGAGAACCCGCAGCTGCATTAGTGTACTTGAGGGACAGGAATGGTGGGCAGGAGCGCTTTAAACCACCCACATTTTATTGCTGATGTACAGCCTCAGTTAACATATTTGGGATCAGTTTGCACCAGCCCTTGTACGCGGCACTCAGCTGGAACAGATGCGTCAAGCTCCAGTTTTTCTTTTGACGAAGCAGTAGCGTTCTTTGGCTTTTGGCAGAAAGAACTCCAAGGTAATTTTAAATGTTTTAAAAAAAGAAATAATCTCAAGCATGCTTTAAAATCCAAGGAAACGCAAGTACAATAAGTATATAAACAATATTTTCATGTTAGGTGCTGCCCATAGTTCAAAACTAAGTGAAAATACATAAAATACAGTAAAAATTAAGTTTCTTTACTCTCAACTCTTCATCCGTGTTTTCTATTCCAGCCTCTGTCATCAGGTCAGCAACATGCTTCTCAAGGTCATCAATGCGCTCGCCCATTTCTTCCAGTAAGAAGTTAAAGATAACATTTATAAATAAGAATAATGTCATTTACTAGCATTTTTCTTCTGTGAGAATAACAAGAAGCTTTCTTCCAGATGTCTCAGCCTCTTTCTTACTCATGTTTAACGCAAGATGAAGCACGCACAAAACTGTATTGTTGCAAGACAATCCCAATTTCTTTTGCAACAGAGAAGCATTCAAGTTCTAAATATTTTCAGCTACCTTCCTGCATGCCAATGAATGAACTGGAATACCTTCTGTGTAAGAGACTGTTTTCTTTCCAAGGAACTATTTTAGGCGATACCATACAGTCAGCCTGCGTAATCAGAATGTGAGCGCTGCTAAAACGCTGGTCTTCTCTTACAATAAAGCAGCCACTTCCTGACAGGTTGAGTTTCAGAAAAACTGGAAAATGTAATAAACTCAACAGTTTCAGAAAGCAGAGGTAGTTTATGTGAATACATCTAAAGAGAAAGTTCAGAGGGTCCTTGGGTCTTAATTTCTCTTTCTGAGGGCTCACCTTCCCAGGCTTGGGAAGCTATCAGTTGTTTTTAAACAAATGACATGCGGCAATGTACTGATTTACGTTGCATTTTTGAAGAGGGTTGCTTTTGTAACATCACTTCAGAATCTTTACACATAATTTGCTGTGTATTTTACTCGAAAGTGAGAATTTCTGCACAGGGACTAGCTCGCTGGGAGTTGGCACTACTTCTAGCAAACCCCTTTTTAGGATTTCTTCCTCAGTAAAGAGAAAAACAAGGGGGCTGAGGGTGCAGTTCCCTCCACAGAATCACAGGATGGTAGGGGTTGGAAGGGACCTCTGTGGGTCATCTAGTCCA